CCCCCGCCCCGGACTTGCTTTCCATCTCTGAGGCTTCCCTCATTTTCGGATCTTTCCCATACCTCCACCTTCCCTCCGGTAGGATTAAGAAAGGAGAAGGATTAGAAGTTGTTCCCAGATGCCCACCTACCTACCTCCCTGCGCCATTTGGCTAGATTGCTCCTGTTTCTTTCTCACCCTCTGAGAGGGGCTACATTAGTTTAAGAGGCTTCTGATTCCTGGTTCTGTTTGGGAGGCCAGAGAGATGAGAGCAGCTAGCTCAGGCTCTGTGTGGGTGTGGTTGGGAGGTGTTGAATGGGAAGGCTTCAGCTGGAGAGGGGCAGGGGGCCTCAGGGACCTCACTTTCCATTCCAGGAGCCATCTTCACTCTGGCATCTCTGAAAGAGTCACCGAACACCTACATCCCAGCAGTCATCTGCCTGGGGCTCCTGCTGCTGCTGGATATCTGCCAGCTCTGAGTCCAAACTAAGAAGGTGGTCAGACCCACTAGGAAGAAGACTCTTGCAAGTGCGTTCAAGGAGTCCTGGGAGTCCTTTTTTCTCTTCATGCCACATCACTATCACGGCAGGAGTATGGTGGAACGCCGAGTCTGCCACCTTCTTACCAGTGCATCCAGGGCTGTTCAGTGTTGAAGCAGACATCTTCTCTACCTGACCCTGCTTTCTCTCTGAGACATTCACTGCTCTTTTTTGAGGAGCACGTGTTGCACACACTGTCATTCCTCATGTAATATGGAAATAGAAAACAGAAAAGCAATTTAAATCACCTCAAAATTTAATGCACCAAAAATAACCACTATCCACTCCTTTTTAATAACTGTACCTCAACTCTTACTATGCCTTTGTACAGATGTTTTTAATGAAAATGAGGCAATTATAAATTACTTTATTAAATGTCTCTTAAAACTAACATACTGTAACACCATTCATTCCGTGTCTGTTTTACCTCATTGATGTTAATGGCTGTATAGTATTCCGTTGTGAGGATGTACTGTAATATATTTATCCTAGCCCCCACTAAGGAACATTTAGATTGTCCCTAGTTTTTTGCTATTGTAAACTTCACAGTAAATCACCTTTGCATACTTACTGTCTTTCCCTCGAAGTGAGGGTGCTGCTTCAAAAGACCCGCACATTTAAAGCATTGGTATTACATACTTAAAATTTACACCTTGGCTATGGCAGAGTCTAAGTAACTGCCTCTGCCTGTGTGCTTCCCAGTCGCGTGAGATATCCCCTCCCATTCTTTTACTTTGTGCACTTTAGATCTGCGGAGCTAACAAAGATGGGCATTGGATCATTGTTTTACAGGATCTGAAACTGCAGCCTTTGGTGGCGAGGTAGGTACTTAGTGCAGTGCTCTTTGGATATCTACATGGAAGCAGAGGACAGCCAACTCAAGGGATGCTGCGTGATAAAGCCATGCTGGAAGCCGGGGATGAATCCCGGAGGTCCCAGGGAATCAGAAGGGTGTGTGTGTGTGTATGGACAATTACTGAAGGAAAGTGGCCACGTTAGAGTCCATACTATCACATCACCAACTGTCTTCACCTCAGTGGGGGCCTTTTGGAAAGTGATATGCCTCCCATAATGGAAGAGAGGAAAAGAGCTTATTTATGCAACTGCCACAGCCACCAGCTGACAGATTACTTTGGGGGTAGGGACAATGGCTTTTGGGAGCCCATAGGAATGAAAGTTGTGTGTGTACATTAGTCCATTTCATCTTTACTACACAATGGTAATTTCTGCCCTGACACTGACTAGCTGGGAACCTCAAGCAAGTTGGCACCCTTAGGTCTTTTCCTCTTGTGTCTGAAAGCACAGTGATGCAATCTAGATTGTGTGTGTGTGTGTGTGTGTGTGTGTATGTATGACACACACTGGTACATCTAAAAGTAGTATATGTAAATAGACGTAAAAAATGGAGTAGTATATTAGGGCACCTGGGTGGCTTAGTCGGTTAATGTCCGACTTTGGCTCAGGTCATGATCTCGTGGTTTGTGAGTTCAAACCCCACATCAGGCTCTGTGCTAACAGCTCAGAGCCTGGAGCCTGCCTCAGAATCTGTGTCTCCCCCTTCTTTGCCCCTCCCGTGCTCATGCTCTGTCTCTGTCTCTCAATAATAAATAAATGTTAAAAAAAATTTTTTTTTTAATGTAGTAGTATACATTCACTACATAGAATGTCGAAACAATCAGGAATCCTTTTCTTTGACAGAGGTCCAGCGATAACATACTTTCAGTTTCTGTGTTGGGTAATTTGGCTGCTTTGCAATGACCTCAAAGACTGATGTTCTTTCAACTTTCTGCTCTGCTGCTTTCAATTTATTGGCTCCTGCCCTCAGCATTGCAAAATAGTTGCAGCAGCTCCAGACGTCACATTTGCACATAACATCCAAAGGGGAAAAGGGAGAGGAAAGCTCTCTTGGAAGACCCCCAGATTTCCCCTCACATCCCATTGGCCAGAATTAGTACCATCTCTATACCTAGACCACCCATTCGTAAGGAGAAAGGAATTCCTATGATGGACTTAGACTAGTTAAGATTTACCCACCCTGGTCAGCAAAGAAAGGGAAGAGGTGGGTAATGGTACCCACCACTTACTAGCTTCTTTGCAAAATATGGGTAATAATGGTAAATACTTCATAGAGTTGCTGTGAGGATTTAGTGAGAAAGTGCTTACAGTAGTGCCTGGCACATAATAAGTGCTCAGTAAATGCTATCATTAAATAGCATTTGCTATTAGTTTGTTCTATAGATGGGAAGATGTGGTCAGAAAGCTTAAGTGCCCATGTGTCAGATCTGAGATTCATTAGGGCCTGATGAACTCCAGAGCCCACACTTTGCACTGCACCGGCTGTCAAAGTTGAAAGTGGGCATGCATAGCACCCCTGCTCCCTTCAACAGGGTAGAGGAGATGATCTGCCCAATGTGATTAAATCTGCCTTGTTTCCAGAATTCCCCCTCTGCATGAACATTTTGAAGGCCATAAACATAGGACCTGGAGCCCCTAGGATCCTGGCCTCTTACCATCTCTACTCCTTCCAGGATGCGACAGTCAGCCTGTCTCCAGCCTGGACTTTGAGTAAAACCTCTCACAGCTGGCATTAGACTGAGGGCTCCTGTTTACCACGGCTTGGCCTGTAAGCTGATTAGCAGCTACAGGGCCCCCAGCTCGGCTGTAGGGCCCACCTAGCAGCTGTGGGAAAGGCAGGGTGCTGGAGGAGTGGGTTGGCCAGCTGGTGTGGAGCAGTTGGGATTGACAGCAGCAGGAGTATCTTGAGTTCCAGCAGTGCCTCCTTGGCCCAAGGAGAAGCCAGGCTTCAGGATATGTGCCCCCCTCAAACCGCACCCTGAACCTCGGTCAGGTCAGTACCATGACATTCAGCTGCAAGGCCTTTTACTTTTCTATCTCCCTCTCTGTGCCCCCTTGCCCTCAAAGATGCACCCTTCCCTTGCGGCCCTGGCCGCACCCCACAAACCCAGCTTATAGCTGCCACAGGTGGGCCCCAGCCCCTCCAGCTGTTGGCCCATTCTTCACGTGGCGTCCTGGGATTAGTGGGGTTGATGGGAGGGTCTGAGATGTGGGGGTGGGAGTGGATTCTGCTCTGTCTCAGCTCCTTAAAGCCAGGCCCCCTAAGGCCCTAGAGATTGCTGCAGCAGCTTTAACAGCAAGAGGTAAGAGAGGAACGACCTGGAGGGATGGCAGGGAGAGGTTCCGGGTGGGGCAGTTGGGGGCTAGAGCCAACAGTGGACAGAGTGGAGAGGGAGGGGAGAAGACATTCCACTCAGGGTCCCAGAAAGGATTGCAGCCTGAGGGGTGCAGAGGCAGAAATACAAATTTTGGTATTGGAGGAACTGAGTTTTGGGACACCCTAGGGGGGTGACTGTGCCAAAAATAGGAACAGGACATGGGCTTCTGCACTTACCCCCCTGGGGAGAGAAGAGGAATACGCCCAGATGTCTCTGTGTTGTTTTGTTTGCTTGGGGTGCCTGTGTGGGTGGTATACACATTCATCTGTGTGCTGCCTGGAGGGAAAGGAGCTAATGGTTCTGGCGTGTTTCTCCAGTGTCAGCCACAGCGCTCAGAGTTTTACTTATGTTTTCTCATAGTTCTCCCAACAACACTGTGAGGTAGGTATCTTAATCTCCGTTTTACAGCAGAGAAAGATTGGCTCAGTGAAGCGGAGTAATTTGCCCAAGGTCACATGGCAAATAAGCGTGTGTATCTAGAACCTGCCTGATTCCTGGGCCTGTGCTGTTTTGCTTTGCTGGCCAAAATTTTGAAGCAGACCCAGGAGGACTTCTTTGTGGTCAAAAGGTGAGGGGAAGGAACCAGGCTGGAAAGCCTGAGAGTTTTGAAACGTTTTTTCAGCCCTGCCCCCCGGGCTACAGGCAAGCGGGGAGTGGACCTTCATTAAGGCAAGTCCAAGGTCACTATGCATGGGACTGTCCTCAGGGTCACTGCATCATAAGCCTGTTCGTCCATAGTATGTGGAGGAGGGAGGACTGCGCTTTTTCTGGGAAGGACTCTATATTCTGGTTTCTCCAGAACTCCCTGTTGGCTCAGCCTTGCTAGGGCTTAAGCACGTGCCGGTGCCTCCACATATCTGAACCATACTCCATCTGTGAGGGGCGGCACTTCCACCCTCTCAGTCACCAAGGTTGGAAATTTCCAAGCTATCTGAGACTCCTGTGTCTTCCTCATTTCCTGCAGCTTGTCAGCAGTCTGCTGTACTCAAGGACTCCTGAGTCCACCCCCTGTTCTCCATCCTCAGGGGTGCTGGCTCAGCTCAGTCCTCATCCTCTCCTACACGAACTTCCCTGCTCCTTAGTGTCCCCTCCCAGCAGGACTGAGTTAGAGGAAGACGGATCGAGGTATGGAGGCCTTCTTGTGGCTAGCCCTCCACAGTGACTTCTCTTCCTTCCTCCCTGGTGGTAAGGTCCGAGATGGGACGCAGCAGGTGCCAGGGACCTGGTGGTCGGCGGTTGCAGCCCTGACGACCCTGCTCGGCTTTCATCAGGTGCCCACTGCTGCTCACGCCTGGTGTTGTCTGGGGCTGCCGGCCAACGTGGCTGCCGCCCTGGCGGTGTTCGTCCCATAGCTGCAGGCGCCAATAGGCCCCTGCGGTTTCTACTCTTTCAACCTGGCCCTGGCCGACGTTTTCACGCTCACGCTGCCGCTCACCCATTACCTGGCCCGGCCCACTGGCCCTTCCGGAGGCCGCCGCCTGGCGGCCGGCGCGGTTTACCACGTGGCTACACACCTTACGTGCGGCCGTGGCTTCCGCTGCGCTCATCATCAGCGGCAGGCAGCCGTTGCGTTTCCGAGGCAGGTGGGTTCCCGGCCCAGGGCGGCCGGCCGCCTGCGCGCTGCGCCGGGAGTGGCCCCCCGCGGCAGCTGCCCGGTGTCAGCCGCCTGGTTGGAAGTCGGCCTGGCCTGCGCTGCGCTCCCCTGTTGGCCGCGCGCCAGCACGTGCCCGGGTCCGGGTCGGCGGTGCTGCCTGCTGCCTGAGACATCGGCTGGGCGCGCGTCATTCGGTTTACGCCACCGTGGCCTTCTTCGCCGCCGCCTTCCTGGTTGGTGCTCGCGGCCTACGTGAGCCTGGCGCGGGCGCTCGCGGCCCCCTCGGGCCCCGGCCCGGCCCCCGCCGGCCCGCACCGGCGCGCGGCCAGGACCATGGTGCTGGGGCTCCTGCTGGTCTTCGCCCTCTGCCTGGCGCCCTACCACC